TTTTTTTTTGAGACGGAGTTTCGCTCTTGTTTCCCAGGCTGGACTGCAATGGCGCGATCCCGGCTCACCGCAACCTCCACCTCCTGGGTTCAGGCAATTCTCCTGCCTCAGCCTCCTGAGTTGCTGGGATTACAGGCACACGCCACCATGACCAGCTAATGTTTTGTATTTTTAGTAGAGACGGGGTTTCACTATGCTGACCAGGACGGTCTCAATCTCTTGACCTCGTGATCCACCCACCTCGGCCTCCCAAAGTGCTGGGATTACAGGCTTGAGCCACCGCGCCCAGCCCCTTTGTTGAAATTTTATTCTTTGATGCGTTCTCTTTGCTTATGCTGGTGGCTCAGCCTGGATCACACTCCCTCTACCATCTTTCTAGCTGACACCCTACCTGAGAGCTTTAAGGTGGAGCTCAGATGGCACCTTCTTCACCAAGCCTTCCCTTTTCTCCCAAACAGATGAGCTCACTCCCTCCTCCAAACTCTTTCACTTCGTTTGCATCTTTCTAGAGGTGCTTATATTGTGACACATTCCAGTTACAAATATCCTTGCTTTATTCCATGATTAGAATGTAAGTGCCTTCAAGTCTGAAAGCATACTCTTCACCTTTTTAGCCTTTGCAGGCATAAAATAGAACCTTACCAGCAGCTTACAAACAATAATTGAATAAATACATATTTCAGTGTGACCAAAAGAGGTTCCAGAGAACTTAAGCTGATCTCATTTCCACAATCCTCAGATTCCCACCTCCAATAGAAGCTCCCAAGCGACCCTTTGCCGCCTGTTAATTAGCAAGGATTGTTTCAAACTGTGAAAGCCTCCCAAGTTTGAACTAAGATTCTTCAAATTTCTCCCTTGTTCTTATGTCCAATCGGACAAGACAGTTGCTTTGTCGTGTGACTCAGATTTTCCCTTCCTTTTTCTCTTTCTTTACCACATTTTCCATCATTCTGTTTAATGCCTTTTTATTTTCATAATGCCTAATTACCAATAGTAAACTTTTCCAGGTTTACTGGATCTCCTGTTCTACTTTCTCCAATACATAATGAGGATAACAATATTTTATAGAGTTACTAAGTTGATAAATGAGATATGGTGTGCATACTGGACCTAGTTTGTACAAGTACCTACTATCTTTTTGTAGAATCTTCTGCTCATGTCCTCTGGTTTTAGGAGTTGATACATGACAAGTAGCATGTCCCTTGGGCCATAGTTATTCGTTCAAGATGGCTGAGAAATTGCAAGATACAGGATGCTGATGACATAATTTGAGTCCCTTGACTTGATCTTGCCTATAACTAGATGTACCCCTGGACTTTCTGGTTATGAGAGTCGATTTCCTTTATTAAACTCACTTGAGTTGGTTTTCTGCTAAGTGCAACAGAGATCTTTGATAAATGGAGTATATAAAGCACTAAGCATGGTACCTTGCACATAAGTGTTAGGCATTATTTTTATTATCCCTGTCCCCTTGCCATACCTCCTACCCAATTCAACCTTTTTCTTATCATCTGCCTATCATACCAGCTAGAATAATTGCCTTATTATTCCCTGCATATTGTCCCTTTGCCTGGATTGCCCTGCCACAAACCCAATGTCATTTTATACTCTTTTCACCATTTCATATCCATCATGATTTAGAACTTGGCTTAAAGAAGTCTCCTATTCTCCAAGAAGCCTTCTTTGAATAATGGTGGCTCCATACTCTACACTGCTTTGTCTATTTTTTTCTGTATGTGTTTTCCACTTATTTCTACCGTTCTGGATTGCACACGACTTAAGGCAAGAAAAAATATATTCTATCTATATATATGATCATCAGTCCTTTTCTAAGTTGAGATTGTCATTATTTTCCAAAGAAACTTACACAGTATTAGACACACTTTAAATGGTCAATGAATATGTTTTAGAAATACATAAATGGAATTAAATCTAGAGGGTTTGGTATCTTATTCTATTTAAGACTTGTTTTTAACCTAGCTAAACTTTTCCCATTTTCTAAGCAAACTTTATATTCTTAAACCATTTTAATTAGTGTAAAGATATCACAATGATTCCAGCCTCAAACATTCCTCCTAACTGTGGTTTCAGAATTCTTTTAGTCAAGTATCTAAGGAAGGAATATTCTGTTAAAAATAATTTTACAATCAGTCAAGGCCTATTTTTTTTTTCTCGTCATCCATATGTCATTAATCCAGTGGGTATTGCATCTGACCCTTGAGAATTTTCTTGGCCTGAAAAACTAATGACAATAGTGAAGCATTAACAAAGACATCCTGAAATGCCAGGAAAAAAAGTGTGAGGGGGAAGTGTGAAAGAAAGAGATGGGGAAATGATTATTTTTTTTTTATTCGTGTTTGTTAGTTTTAAATAGTAAAACCTTCTCCTATCCCAAATAAGTTGGTTTCTACTTACAGCTGGACGATTTTTAAGAACAACTATTTGGAATCAAAGGTCCACGCCCCTGTTTGTTGAATTTAATTGCTGTATGGTTTATCAGAAAGGCCAGGGGCTGGTGAATTTAAACCATTTAAAATAACAAAAGATTAAAGTGAATCAAATTTAGTGCCTCTGGGATTTTTGATATATGTTCCAAATTTGTTTTTAATAACACAATTGCTCCATGTTACATTTAAGATTACATCACAGGGAACTGGTTATGTGTGCAGTTATGCGCATAGAAACCATTTCCAAATGTCAAAAATGAGAGTGAGGACAACTATAACGTTATCATTAAAGAAGTAGAAGTTGAAAATGGAAGAGAAACACTTAGGTTGAATAAGGTCTTAATATGAAAGCTTTGAACAGAAAAACCTGAAAAAAATAACACGCATTAGGTTGACTTAATGCCTTTTCAACAGCATTTAAGTCATTATTTTACTTTCTTTCTTTCTTTTTTATTTTTATTTATTTTTTTTTTTTTTGATGAGACGGAGTTTCACTCTTGTTACCCAGGCTAGAGTGCAATGGCGCGATCTCGGCTCACTGCAACCTCCGCCTCCTGGGTTCAGGCAATTCTCCTGCCTCAGCCTCCTGAGTAGCTGGGACTACAGGCACGCGCCACCATGCCCAGCTAATGTTTTGTATTTTTAGTAGAGACGGGGTTTCACCATGTTGACTAGGATGGTCTCGATCTCTTGACCTTGTGATCCACCCGCCTCAGCCTCCCAAAGTGCTGGGATTACAGGCTTGAGCCACCGCGCCCGGCTCATTATTTTACTTTCAAGTGGAAACCAGTGCATTTTCTCAAGGTATTTATTCATTCATTTTAGTGGAAAAAGATAGTTCCTGATGACACAAACGGAAATTGTGCTAAATAAATTTTGAGAACATCCATCAAGAAATAAAAGTTACTAGTCATATGTATAAATGGTTATTACATTTCATCTTTTTTAAAAGAACAAGAAATTCGGTATCGTTTCTTTTAGTTTTCAGACTTTTTTTTTCTTCCTTAACTAAAAGTACTGTAATTGTAATATTCTCTTGCCTCTGGGGCTTTCCCTTCCACAATTAATCATCTTTTCTTCCACACCTTCCCTCCAAATGATTATTCCCCTTAGTTTCAGAACACTTGACGTTAATTCGTACTATTTCATTTTCACAGCTTTCAAAACATTGCCCTGCCCTTGCTTAGTTCCACAAGCCACCCCCTTTGCTATAAAAAAATTGGTTAACAGAAGCATTTTTGTACTATCTCTTAGCCAGAAGATGCTACCATTTACTTGGGAACAACTTTGAGATACTAATTAGTTTCCTTACTCAAACTTTTGAATTTGAAACTTTCTATATTTAAATTCCTTAGGATAACAAACATCTACACTTCAAAAGTAGCAGTATGTTCACTTTAAACATTCAGAAAACTTGGATCCTAAGACTTTCTCCTTCATCCTTCTGACTCTAGAATACATGTCCTTGATCATCAGAATCAAGCAAGAAATTGAGTCTCACCAGCTATAACACAAGTGTTGGCAAAGGAAACCCTTTCAAATTGTCATTCATCTGCACATTTACAGGCAGTTTACCCATACATCCTTTATAAACATTATTACGCATTGGTGCTTAAGACTTCAGTCATATGAGGTAAGCTTTCCAGTTTATAGGCAAAAGGAGGTGGCAATGGAGCCCTTTTATTTTTTTATTTTTTAAATCAAAACAAAATCCAGTTTGGTCCCATGCTGCCATTTGTCAAGCGTCTTTTAGAAAGTCGCCTAGTGCATTAAATTAACCAACTCCTAACCAAATCAGGTTTAAAATGTTTCCCATGCCCACAGTGACAGACGAGTTACCAGGCATACTTAAGTAGACTGTCAAACTTTTATGTTTACTCTTTTAAAAAGGGAAAGTCCGTTTTTGTTTTTTGGGGTTTTTTGCTTTTGTTTTTCAAGGGTGTCTGGTGCGGAACTAGACGCTCACCTGTACATAACAAAGACAGGTCTTTCCCGGCTGTCCTCATGGGGGAGGGGCTGGACAGTCGCTAGACCTTTGTCCTCAGGTACTGGGCATGGGGGTTGGGGGAGACGCGACTTTCTGGGAGTCGTGTAGGCACCTGCACCCAAGAAACTACAGGGCGGCTTTGACCTCAGTGACTGCCCTGGCCTAACCTTTGGAGGGGCCCTTTAGTTTGGGGAGGGGGCTTGCTGCCCCAAACCGTAGCCACATCACCCATAAGGATTGGGAAGGAAATGACTGACCACTCAAGAGTCAGGGACCCCCGTCTCTCCCAACTAGACCCGAACGTCCCCAGCCCTCTCGGTGGGCTCGCCCCGTGGCGGGCAGGGCCACGGTGCGCCGAGATCGCGGCGGGCTCAGACCCGGTCTCTGCTCCGCGCCCCCGCCGCGCCCGCACCGCCACCGTGAGGCCGAGCCGGGGACCGTGCCCCGTGGCGGCGGCGGCGCCTCCGCTCTCCTCTCCGCACCGCCCCGGCCGCCGCCGCGCCGGGCACGGGTGGGGGGATTTTTTTTTCCCGTTTCCCCCTCTTTCGCGCTCTCGCTCCCGTTCTGCGGGAGAGCCCGCAGAGTCAGGGAGGGAGAGAGGGAAGGGGTGGAGGTGGCGGGGGGAGGCCGGAGGGGCGGATCCTGCCTGGGGGCTGATCCCTCCCTCCCTTCGGCCGGGCTCCGTGGCGGCAGCGGCAGCAGCGGCGGCTCCATTCCCCCTCCTCCCCCGGGAGCGGCGGCGGCGGCCGGGCAGGGGCCCTAGCGCGGGCCGGGAAGGGGCACGGCGGAGGCCACGGAGGCAGGCGCGGGAGGAGACCGCGCTCCGCTTCCCGGGCCACGCCAACCTGCTCGGCGGCCAGCCCGCCTGCGCCCAGGGGCCCCGAACGGTGGGGCCGGGCCGGCGGCTGAGGTAATGGGGGCGGCAGCGGGGCCGGACAGAGCGGGGGCGGGGGCAGCGGGGCCTGCGGGGACCAGGGACTGCACGGGAGGAAACCGGAGAAGCGAGGGGCTTTCCGAGCAGGGCGGGGGCGGTGCGAAAGCTCTCTCCTGGAGCGAGGGCGGCGGCGGGGAAGGAGAAGGCGGGTGAGCGGGGGAGCTGAAAAGCGAGGACCCCCTCCCGCAGCCGCCATCTTGTCCCCCCCCAAGCCCTGGAACCCGAGCTGCCAAGCCCCGCCCCCAGCACGCCTTCCAATTGGCCTGGCCAGAGGACAGTTCCGCCCTTTGAGCGTCCCTTAGTCCCCCGGGTCCCCCTGACGGGCAGGTGGGGCGGCCAATGGGCTCTCGCCTCTCTGGCCGACTCACTCGCTGGCGCTCGCTTTCTCTGTCTGAGGGTCGGACTCCGCGTCAGGCTGTCTCTGGTGCGCTCGCCCCCTCCCCTCTGAGGAGATGTTATTTCTCTCCTTTCTTCTCCGAGGGGTCAAGATTCTTCTGGAAGAGGTGCCCCCTTAAAGGGGCAGAAGCCTTGGCTGGGGACCTCCCTTGTCTCCTGAGTATCTTGTGTGGGGTGCAGGGGATACAGTCTAATTGCAGAAGCTCTTCATTCTTCGGGGACCTGGGTGGGTGAGCGAGCGGGGGGTTCAGGGGGTGCCGAGAGGAAATCTGGGGGGCGGGGGACGTTGGAGATATTTTGGAGGTGTGTCTGTGGGAACGGCTGTGTAGGTTGAGAAACTCCCGCCAAAAAGCTCGTCTAGACTGTAAGCTCCTTGTGGGCGAAACTCATTTCCTTTCCCTCAGCAGCAGCCCTTCCCGCTGTAGAGTTTCTCCCCGGTGTCTGGAGGCGTGGGTGGGACAAAACACGTCTGGGTAGAGACTTGCGTGGTCGAGAGATGCCTGAGCAGCCGAGGAGGTGGCAGGTGGGGAGGGAGAAGATGGAGCGGCTTTCAGGAAAGGGGGCGCCGCACCGCCTGTCTGCTGTTTGGGGTCGGTGTGGCGGCAGATGTTCTCACCTCCTGGGGCCTCCGTGCCTCTGGAGGGGTGGGTGATGAAGCAGGTCTCTTGGCCCTGTCTGCCCCCAGGGACTTGGCATTAGTAAGGAATCCGGTGGCCACGGGCCTCTGGAACCCGGACAGAATTGCTGCAATGGTTCTGTTTCCTTTGGCTCCAAGTGGGATGTGTGCCAGCCCGCCTGGCACTGCTCCTCAGCCAAATTGTTTTTTTTTTTGTTTGTTTGTTTCGGTCACACTTTGGGATTGGAAGCCCTTTCAAATAAGGATGTTAATAATACCTTGTTAACAAGTAGCACCTCGAGAGCTGGATTGTATTACTCTCATTTTACTGATGGAGTGTGGAGGCATAGAGAGCTTAAGGGACTTTCTCCAGGTCACAGAGGACCAAGATTAGAACGTAGGTTGCCCCAGAGCCTCTTTTTGTGCCAGACCACAGCACCTCTGTGGTGTTTTTAATTCCCACTGAGATGAATTGAGCATTGGAAAATCTGGGTTCAAAGTGTCGCTTTTTCACTTACTAGCATTAGGTTGAGTGACGTCTTTCTGAGCTTCTAGGTAGATGATAGTAGCTCTACCATCTCCTAAGGTAGTGGTGAGAAATATTAAAAGTGGGCTTTGTAGTTTGGAAAAAGTGCTTTTATTATCACAGTCTCTACTTTATAAATGAATTGTTTTCTCTTTGAAATCTTCTCCCTGTTCGTATCCTTCCAAGTCTGGCCCTGTATCCCCAAAGGTCTCTTCTGGTGGTGACAACTTTGATGACAACCTGTAGTTCCTCATGAGCTTGTTGTAGTTCCCTTCATCCAGAGAATGGTGTAGGAAACTAGGGCTTTCTCTTGGCTGTACAAGGATAGGCTAGATAGAAGTATTCTGGGAGAGACTTTTGAGGTAACAGAATGCATTGAGAGTTTATCTCAGATACTGCCCAGATCATATTGACTTTGGGTTGAATGAAGGTCCCAGACAGGCCACTACAACTTCAGAGATCTCTTGGAGCCACTTCAGAGCTTCTAGGGTTTATTTCTGCCTGGAAATGTACTCGCTGATATATCTTGGATCATGGGTCCCCAACCCCCCAGGCCATGGACTGGTACTGGTCAGTGGCCGGTTAGGAACCAGGCCGCACAGCAGAAGGTGAATGGCGGGCAAGTGAGCATACCAGAGCTCTACCTCCTGTCAGATAAGTGGCTGCATTGGATTCTTTTCTTTTTTTTTGAGACGGAGTTTCGCTCTTGTTACCCAGGCTGGAGTGCAATGGCGCGATCTCGGCTCACCGCAACCTCCGCCTCCTGGGTTCAAGCAATTCTCCTGCCTCAGCCTCCTGAGTAGCTGGGATTACAGGCACGTGCCACCATGCCCAGCTAATTTTTTGTATTTTTTGTAGAGACGGGGTTTCACCATGTTGACTAGGATGGTCTCGATCTCCTGACCTCGTGATCCACCCGCCTCAGCCTCCCAAAGTGCTGGGATTACAGGCTTGAGCCACCGCGCCCGGCCTGCATTGGATTCTTAAAAGCGCGCGAACTCTGTTTTGAACTGTGCATGTTAGGGATCTAGGTTGCATGCTCCTTATGAGAATCTGACCAATGCCTGATGATTTGAGGTGGAACAGTTTAAACAACCACCCACCCTCATATGTGGAAAAATTGTCTTCCACAAAACCAGTCCCTGGGGCTAAAAAGGTTGGGGAACCACTGTCCTGGATGCTGCTTTTTGTAGGGAATACCCTGCATACTATAGTTTGAAGCCCTTAGACCATGTATTATAGGCATATCAGATCCCCTCACCCCTTCACCTCTAGGCAGGATCAAGGAGTAGGGTTTCTAATCATGGTAAGATGTATTGGGAGAAGACTAGACTTGGGAAGTTTTGATTCTCTAATAGGGCCCATTATTCATGAACAGAGCATGACAGTGGATGCTGTTCTTGTTTTCTTCTTTTCTAAGCCCTTCACTACTCATGCCTTTTCCATAGTTAGCTGTCGCACAGCTTTATGTACATACATCATTAGAACATTAGATCGTTCCCTATGCTACATCGTAATCATCTGTTTACTTTTCTGTCTCTTCAGTTAGTCAGGGCTCCTTGAGGGCAGGGATCATGCGTGTTTGATTTTTCCTTTCATTCAACTAATACTTATTGAGTGGTTATTTAGGAACTAAGCACTGCTCCAGGAACTGAGAATACAGCAGTGAACAAGGCAAACAAAAATCTTCTCATGGAGCTTACATTCTAGTGGAAAGGAGGAAACAATAAATATAGTAGTAGGTAAATTATGTAGCATGGTATAAGATGGTGAGTGTTAAAGGGAAAAATATAGCAGAATGAAAGGTAGATTGCTGTAGAGGAAAAGAATTTGCAATTTTAGATAAAGTGGTCAGAGAAGGTCTCACTAAAGTGTTGTTTACTTGAAGAAATGAAAGACTCAGAGGAGGTGAAGGAAGGAGCAGACCATGTGGATGCCTGAGAGACAGGTTCTTCAGAGGGAACAGCCAGTCCTCTTGGTGGATGCCTTCTCATATGGGAGGATGAATGGGTGCATAAGGGCACGGACATCCACCTCATAGGCTCCTGGCTTTCTCTCCTTAGGCCTGTCCCCTCAGTTCCCAGGTGCCATGAAGAAGCCTCGTCGGAAGTCCCGGCAGAATGCCGAGGGCCAGCGTTCCCCGTCCCCCTACAGTCTCAAGTGCTCACCCACCCGGGAGACCCTGACATATGCCCAGGCCCAGCGGATTGTTGAGGTAGACATTGATGGACGCCTGCATCGTATCAGCATCTATGACCCACTCAAAATCATCACTGAGGATGAGCTAACTGCCCAGGATATCACTGAATGCAATAGTAACAAGGAAAACAGTGAACAGCCTCAGTTCCCTGGCAAGTCCAAGAAACCCTCATCCAAGGGCAAAAAGAAGGAATCCTGCTCCAAGCATGCATCTGGTACTTCCTTCCACCTCCCACAGCCCAGCTTCCGTATGGTGGACTCAGGCATCCAGCCAGAAGCACCCCCACTGCCTGCTGCCTACTACCGGTACATTGACAAGCCACCTGAAGACCTGGAAGCAGAGGTAGAGTATGACATGGATGAGGAGGATCTTGCTTGGCTGGACATGGTGAATGAAAAGCGGCGAGTAGATGGGCACAGTTTGGTGTCTGCAGACACCTTTGAGCTGCTGGTAGACCGGCTTGAGAAAGAGTCATACTTGGAGAGTCGCAGCAGTGGTGCCCAACAGTCACTCATTGATGAAGATGCTTTCTGCTGTGTGTGCCTGGATGATGAATGTCACAATAGCAACGTTATTCTCTTCTGTGACATCTGCAACCTGGCAGTACACCAGGAGTGCTACGGTGTCCCCTACATCCCTGAGGGCCAGTGGCTATGCCGCTGCTGCCTGCAGTCTCCCTCCCGGCCTGTGGATTGCGTCCTCTGCCCCAATAAGGGTGGCGCCTTCAAACAGACCAGTGATGGGCACTGGGCCCATGTGGTGTGTGCCATCTGGATCCCTGAAGTCTGCTTTGCTAACACAGTGTTCTTGGAACCTATCGAGGGCATTGACAATATCCCACCTGCCCGCTGGAAACTAACCTGCTATATCTGCAAGCAGAAAGGGCTGGGTGCAGCCATCCAGTGCCATAAGGTGAACTGCTACACAGCATTCCATGTGACATGTGCACAGCGGGCTGGGCTCTTCATGAAGATTGAGCCCATGCGTGAAACCAGCCTCAATGGCACCATCTTCACAGTGCGCAAGACTGCCTACTGTGAGGCCCACTCGCCGCCAGGTGCTGCCACTGCTAGGAGGAAGGGTGACTCTCCCAGAAGCATCAGTGAGACTGGCGATGAGGAAGGACTGAAGGAGGGTGGTGGGGAGGAGGAACAAGAGGAAGAAGTTGAGGAAGAGGAGCAGGAAGGCCAAGGTGGGGTGGGTGGCCCCCTCAAGGGAGTGCCCAAGAAGAACAAGATGAGTTTGAAGCAGAAGATCAAGAAGGAGCCAGAGGAAGCAGGCCAAGACACACCCTCCACTCTCCCCATGGTCACTGTCCCACAGATACCGTCTTACAGGTAAGCATTCCCAGAAGGGTTCCTCAGGGACTCATGGTTTCTTCTTGGGTTGGTGTTGGCCCTTGCCAGGCCTTCCCTAAGCACCGTTGGACACTATTCTCCCCAAATTTAAATTTTTCCTTATGAGCCCAGGTTCATCTGGCCTGGTTTGTAGTTTTGATTGTGCTCTCAGAGTAATGTATTTCCTTTAGTTCAAAGTGAAATAAAACAATTAAGTACTTAGAAACTCAGGTGATAGGATATCTAAGGCAGTATTTTCTAATAGGGGCATTAAGTGACATTTTGTAAAGAGTAATTATTCATGTTACTTAAAAACTCAGGTGGTAGGATATCTAAGGCAGTACTTTCTAATAGGGATACTAAGTGACATTTTGGACAGAATAATTCTTCATTGTTAGTACTGTCTAGTACATTTCTAGACGTTCAGTATCTGTAGTCTTTGTATATGCCAGTTGCATCCCCTTCCCCACTGCCTGGTCTTTGTGACAACCTCAAACACTCCTCACGCATGTTTTAAAAAACCTTGGGGAGGATAGAACTAATGACCCAGTGAAGAACCACTGTTGCAGAGGATTGGTATGGCCATCTGCTGTCCGGCAAGTTCTGTCCTGGGTATGAGGGGCTGATGTGGTGTGGAGAGAACATGCTATTCCTCCTCTTGAAGTTTTAGTTTAGGGATAAGAGGGTCATTCAATTTATCTGTGTAGCTAAGCTGTCTGGACTCCTATTGAGTCTGTAGAGAGCACATGGTACCTGTTTTAAAACATCAGAGAGGTATCTGGAGCCATTGGAGGGATGGGAGCTTGGCAGAGAAGCAAGAGATAGGGAAGATTTCCTAGCAGAGGCTCATCACAAGGGTGGTGGTCATTAAAACAGTATAGGAAGGAGTCTTGGAGATTGTTCATCTGATGTAGTCCTTGCACCTTCTCCCATACCTCCAGATGAAGAAACTGCGGCCACGGGAGGTAAAGTTGTTCACTCCTTTATTCATTCAATTATGTATTTATTGAGCACTTACTACATGCCATGTCCTGTTCTAAGGGATGGAACCGGGTGGAAAGTGGCAGACCTTATACCACAAAGCTGGGCCTAATGATGCCTCTGGGTTGCATTCCTCTTGTCCATCTCTCTTGATGAGAAGGGTAGGGAGAAAGGAGCCTTGGGGAAAGAGTTGTATGTGAGCTATGAATAGGCAACCAGACTTGCCAGGCTGGGAAGAAGACTGAAGGGTGCGATCAGGAGGGGGAGGCTCTTATTGCCGGCTATGACCCAAGTTAGAATTTCAGTGACTCTGAATGTGTTTTCTAGTCACAGAGCTGTTCTAGGTTATTTTTTTTCCTGAAGTAGGTGGGTGGATGCTTAGTTCCATCTGTAGGGTGGTTACACCCTGAGGCTAGAATCTTTGGTTGTCATGTATGTTGTTCTAGATGCCTCATGCTGGAGCCAGCAGAGCTTGCTGGCTGAGAACCAGACAGACCTACATTTGAAACCCATTTTTATCACTTAGTACCTATGTGACCTTTGGCAAGTTGCTTAACTGCTCTAAGCCTTAGTTCATTTGTAAATGAACCCATCACATAGAGTTGTGAGAAATAAATAAGATAATATAAGTAAAGCACTTAGCACAGTGTCTGACAAATAGTGTGTGCTCAATAAATGGTGGCTACTGCTGCTGCTGCTATTTTATTATTACTATTCTTTTCCCTACCTGCACAAATGCTATTGGGATCCTTCAAGGCCAAGAGGTTGTAGAGGGAGGATGCTGCATACATCTGGGCAGGTGTGCTTGGCATGGGCATTGGTGGGGATCTGTTCTTTGGGGAAGGCCTAATTCTTGATTTTATAAGCTTGGCTTTGGGGCAGGAATGTTTGACTGTGGAGAGGAGCAAGGCCTAGGTGAGCAATGTCCTGCCCAACATGTCCGTCCATCCTTCTAAGGTTTCACCTTCTTGTTTAGCTGTGCTTATCTTTGTATCAGTGGAGTGGGATGAAGAGAAAAAGCAGAGGAAACACCACAGAAGTACTGAGGCCTTGCCTACCCTGTGGATAACCAGTTTGGGGATGTACCGTGGTATAGCAGAGAGATCGTGAATTCAGATCCCTCCCAGATCCACCATCTTATTAGCTGCATTAGTTACTTTGACAATTTATTCAGCTTCTGTTCCTATGCTGCCTTTCCATCTTTTGTAAAATGGGAATAATGATACCCACCTTGCAATATGGATATTAAGATAGAGATTGTAGGCTTGCATTTGTTCCTCCCCTTCCCCTTTTCTTCCCCCAAGGAGTTACTGGCTTAAACCCTGACCTTAAGACATTTGAGTAGTTTAGCCAGCTGGGTTTTCAGATATTTCATCCTCTACATCTTTAGATCAATTTTTTTTTCATTTAGTTCAAAATTAAACAACATTTTTAGGCTGCTGACATTTATACTATGAAAAACCAGAGGTCAAACAACTCTAAGGGGTTGCATTGGGCTTAGCCTGGGTGTGGGCGACACCCTGGTCTGATGGGACCCTCAGCCACAGAAGTGGCCGCCTTACCCATAGCTTACTCAAGTTCCCGTTCCTTTTTGCTGTTTTTATACAGAGGAGGGTGGGGGTATCGAGGCACAGGCTTGTTTCTCAGTCCATACCTGGTACAAAGATATCCAGGACCATAGGAAATAGGGTTCTGGGAGAGGGTTCTTTTGGAGGATTAGGACTGCAAGGCAAGAGGTGGAAAAGCAAACGAAATACCTCATGCTGAATCTGAGCTGCTTAACTTTTCTGTCCTTTTCAAGCCTTTCTTTGAGGTGAGGTATTTGGCCATTTTATTCTGTCTTCCTGTGTAAGGTTCAGAAATGAACCAGGGTCTGGATAGGATGCATGGGCTATAATCTGGGCTGCCCACTGACCCTGTCTTTCACTTCCGTGTGCCTCTACTCAAGGTTGAACAAGATCTGTAGTGGTCTCTCCTTTCAGAGGAAAAACCAGTTTATGCAGCGGCTTCACAACTATTGGCTGTTAAAGCGTCAGGCACGGAATGGTGTCCCTCTTATCCGGCGCCTGCACTCCCATCTGCAGTCCCAAAGAAATGCCGAGCAGGTAGGTACGGTGGTGATTTGAGACTGGTAGAGGGAGGTGAAGAGTGAAGGAAAAGGGATGATGGTTGGGGTGGGGCTGGCACCCCTCCTTGATCCCTCCATGGAGCCTTTTCCTATAGGGGATCACCCCTCTGGGTGGTCTATCCCAGGAACAACCCCCAGCACTACAGAGATCTTCAAGCAGCTGTTCCTGGATGGAAGAGGTTTGACTTTGTAGAGAATTCTAGGGGAGAGTGGAGCGCATGCCCAGCTTTCCATATATGTGGGGAAAATCCTCTAAATGTGGCAGAAAGTGAGAAGTAGGCTGAATGAGAGCCAGGGTGGCCACATTGTGTTAATTAGGAAAAGGCGCCCTTTCCTCAAGACATTATGCTGCCATCTGCCAAAAAATGTTTCATAGTAAATACACAAATTTACGATCTAAGTTGTAAGACACAGCCTGTCCAATTGTGGTGGCTGTTTAGCCATTAGCACCTGGAGTTGCTGCATGTTTGTTTTCTGCTCCTAATTTCTCTTAACTCTTTACTTCTTTCTCCCCCTTTAACTGTTCTATTCCTTCTGCCTTTAAGTGTTCCCATACTGCTGCTCCAGAGATGAAGCAAAGCTTTACGTGAGTCTGGTGTCTTCTGCATTCTGTCTGATCTCGCTTTTGCCTTTTATAACTAAACTCCTGAAGTACAAACCTGTATCTGGCTCCCTGTGAACCTTTTGGTCCACTTGCTCCCCTGAAGCCTCCCCTAAAACATCAGCTGTCTTCTCCCAGGAAGTCTTATATTCTCACCTGATTCATCACTGAGCTGCATTTGAGCACAAATCACTTTGTCTAAGAGCTTCTCTGTGATACCACTTCCTGCTTCTTCTGCCTCTCTGACTGTACCCCACGCTGACCCCACTTCTTGCTCTTTAATGGTAACATTCCCAGTGGCTCTGCTGTCTTTTTGTTTGCTTGGAGAACATGTCCACTCTCATAATTGACAGTAACGGTAATAGTAGCTCCAGACTTTTGCCTTGTCCTCATCCCTTTTTTATGCCATCAGTGCCTCAGGGATGTTTCCATGTGGATGTTGTTACTTAAAACTGAAATATTGGAAATTACTTATCTTTTTTCCACTCAGTAAACTTGTTTCCCCGTTATTATGGAACTCCTCTCCCTCCTGGACTCATATCAAGAGTTTCCCACCTTGGAGTTATTTTTGACTCTTTCCTCCCTAATGGGCCACTGTTAATCATCCCTTAAGCTGCTTTGGAGGCTTTATCAGCATGGCCTTTTGTCTTCATTCTACAGCTCTCCTGCTCACCCATGCCCTCTTAATCTCAGCAATAGCTTTCTAGGTGATCTCCAGCCTCTAATTCATTCTTTGTTCTACAACTGGTAGTGTCTTATTCACATACCATTCTCCATTCTCTCACTTCCTCTTCCAAAATATACTCCTCTTTCTAGGCAGTCCAAGTTAAGGCTCTTTTGCCTTACATTTGAAGCTTCTTCTTAGCTGTGTTCTGGATCTTCCTTGGCTTTTGTAGTTTTCCAGCATGTGTGCTCTGGCTAGCTTGTTTTGCTTACCAAGCAAGGAATCACTTAATTCGGCCTCTACATATTTGCCCCTTTCATCCCTTTGGTTCCAGAAGAGACCTTCCTTACTACTTTGCCCATCCATGTCTGTCACCTACCTGTATGTAAAACTCTAGTAAGACTCTTCACCAGGAAGCTTCTCTGATCTAACCTCTACCTACTCAGATCTTCTCTCTATTTTGTATTCTCTTAGCATTTTATTTCCAGTTTATATTATTAGTTTTTATTATATTTATGCCAATATGCCTTGTGCTTCAAGCTCTAGGTCTCTTTTCTTCGCCTGACTCCAACTGTAATTTTTTCTACAGCAGGAATTGTGATTATTTTGTTGTTGTCTTACCAAAGTATGTTGAAACTTACAGTAAGAACCTCACTTAGTTTTCTAGTCAAGTGAAAGCTCTAGGGTGAAATTCTTTGCACCCCTGAGGTCAGTTTTCTTGTGAAATTCTTTCTGGCCCAAAGGGCCATAGCTGCTCTCTGGTATACCTGGGGGTGGGGGAAGCCGTACCAGATCCTACTCCAGCAATGGTTATCCTCTATAATGAAGAAACATTGCTATAATACTGGGGCAGCTCAGGAGGAAGGCATGGGGTAGAGAGGGGTGGAAGGGCTCTTGGAACTGTGGGTCAGGGAAGGGGACAAGACTTTTACCTGCTGCAGCCCCATGAGGCTTGAAGAGGGGGAGGACTTTGGGCAAGAAGGAGGTTCCTAGTTCGTCTTTGCTTCTCTCCTGCAGCGAGAGCAGGATGAGAAGACAAGTGCAGTGAAGGAAGAGCTGAAGTATTGGCAGAAGCTCCGGCATGACTTGGAGCGGGCGCGGCTGCTGATTGAACTGATTCGGAAGAGAGAGAAGCTCAAACGGGAGCAGGTAAGGAGGAGCCCTCAGCCCTAGGGCCCTAGTTCAAGGTCACTTTCTCCCACTGTTAGTCTAGTATTGGGAAATCCAGGAGTCCCCGCCTTGTGCTAGCTTTTTCCCCTTCCTACCCAGCATTGTGGGCTCCAAGATCTGCCTACTCTGTATTGGGTATAGTGCTACTGATGGTTTCTGTATTTTGGGTTTCAGCTCCTGGTGGCCTCATATGATATGATATTATATGCCTGGTCCTGTTCCTGGAGTTTCTGATTCAGGAAGTCTCAGAGGGAGCCTGGCCTTGAGGATTTTGGAAAGCTTTTTAGGCCATTGTAACGGGCATCATCAGTTGAAAGCCTCTGGCCTGGGAACTTCTGAGGGTTCTCGCTTGAATCTTAAACACTTATGGTCTTGAATCATTTAATTTTTTTATTTCTCCTCTGTTCTAGGAGATCCTAAGCCCCTGAGCATAGGAAATGTTGAGGTAGGTAGTATAGCTTAGTGGTTTAGGAACGTGAGCTATGGTACCAGACTGCCTGGGTTTAAATCCTGGCTCTTCTGCTTATTACCTGTGTGACATTAAGCAGGTTCTTTAATCTCTTAATACATCAGTTTTCTTAACTGGAATATGGGGGTGATTATAGAGCCTACATCATAAGGTTGTTGTGAGGATTAGATGACTTAGTCTATGTAAAGAGCTTAGAATAGTGCCTGGCACATAGTAACAGCCAGAAAAGTGTCAGCTGCTGTCATTATTATTATCAATACTCTTTGCTTCCCTGAAGTATCTACTGCACATGGCAGAGAGCAAATACTATTAATTGAGTGGATAAAAAGCCAAACTTCTCTCTGGTCCAGAAATAGTAGCTGTCACTTGCATGCTTCCGAGGCCTGGGCTAAAGATGTTCCTTTCTTGCTGGGCATGGTGGCTCATACCTGTAATCCCAGCACTTAGGGAAGCAGAGGCGGGAGGATAGGTTGAGTCCAGGAGTTTGAGACAAGCCTGGGCAACATAGCAAGACCCGTTCTCCACAAGAAAGAGGGGGAAAAAAGATGTTTCTTTCTCTTTCTCTAAATTCTAATTCAGTGTTCAGCCTTAGCACAACCCCTTTTCTAGAAGGCCAGTAGCCTCAGTTTCCACCTCACAGCCTGGGCGGCTCATGCCATATTTACCATGGATGGCCATGGAGGACATCTCAGGACCTTCTTCCTGGGTTCAAAATGTCTGTGCTATCCGAGGCATGATCCAACAGCTGAACTTCTCGTCCCATCTCTGGTTCAGAGAAATGAGAGACAGAAGGAGGCCCTGGTCCTGGGGAAGTAGGCAGACCTGTTTTGATAGAGCCAAGAGGTGGGAATTTTCCATATCTAATTTGTGGCTTCCCAACTTTTCACCTTAGGGCATATGTATAAAACAGCATTTGTACAGCATACTACTGAAATATATGAGGCTACTTGCCGTTTGTGGGGGTCAAGTCTGGAGGCTCTGGTGACCCCATGCTGACCTAGATGCTCCAAGGGCTGATGGGATCAGTATATCAGCACACTGGATGGGAAATTCTGGTTCAAGCACATTTTACATCATCATTATGCCCCTGGGACTAAGTCAGACCTGGCTTCAGGTCCTATCTCTATTCTTTTCTAGCCAGATGACCTTAAACTAGGAACTCTTTCACTATGCTCTCTCTAAACTTCAGATTCCATATATATTTTTTTAATTTGTATTTTTTTTCTTTTAGTCCTTGGTGATCTTTTTTTGATCCATATTTGTAAAATGGGGACAATAATTTTGTTTCAGGGTTATCATGATGATTAATTGAGGTATTACAAGTATAGAGGTAGTGTGGCATAATGGTCAAGAGCACTCACTGTAGAACCAGTGTCTGGGACTGAATCCCAACTCTGCTGCTTACTAGCTATGACTTTAGGCCAGTTACTTAGTAATTCTGTGCCTTGGTTTCCTTTTTGTAAAATACCTCATCTGTTCCTACTTCATACACTCAATTTATTTTGCCTAAAATGTTTAGAACATTACCTGGCATTTAGTAAGGGCTGTAGAAGTGTTAATTATTGGAATTGTAGTGATACTGTAATTATTATTGATACTGTAAATTTTGGCATGGTGTTTGGCACATAGGAGAACTGTAAATTTTGGTATGGTGTTTGGCACATGGGAGACAATCATAAAATGGTATGGTAGCTGTTGGTATCATTGTTCCTAGGCTGAAGGTTGGGTAATAGTTCCGTATATACTGGTCAGCTTAATAGCCTATGAAAGTTTGCTGTACATGACTGGTAAAAGTCAAGCTATCAAGAAAAAGTTTCAGTAGATCTTTGCAGGGGCTGTCCTGATTCGATCTCACCCCACTTTCCCCACAGGTCAAAGTCCAGCAGGCTGCCATGGAGCTGGAGCTGATGCCATTCAATGTCCTGTTGAGGACAACACTGGACCTGCTGCAGGAGAAGGATCCTGCACATATCTTCGCAGAACCAGTCAACTTGAGTGAGGCAAGTTCCCCCCACTTCCCAAGAAGTGAATTCTTCCTGAACTGGAACACGGTCTGAGTAGGCTAGGAAGGAGTTGGGCCACAGGGTGTACAAAACCAGGGTTAGGAGGGTGGGTCTGGCAAAGCTAGTAGACTTGCCCTTGATGAGAGGTCAGCAGGCCAGGGTGGCCAGGCCTGTAGGGCTCTGAGTTAGCCTGGCTTGGCCAAATCAGAAAATGAGGCCAAGAGTACCGGTGAAGGGTGTGCCTGTTTGGCTAGTAAATGGTTGTTGTAATTGTACAGGTTTTATATGTTTAGGTTCCAGATTACCTGGAATTCATATCCAAGCCAATGGATTTTTCTACTATGAGGCGGAAGCTGGAGTCCCACCTGTACCACACCTTGGAGGAGTTTGAGGAGGACTTTAACCTTATAGTTACCAACTGCATGAAGTATAATGCTAAAGACACAATTTTCCACCGAGCAGCTGTCCGCCTGCGGGACCTGGGAGGGGCCATCCTACGGCACGCCCGGCGGCAGGCAGAGAACATCGGCTATGACCCCGAGAGGGGCACTCACCTGCCCGAGTCACCCAAATTGGAAGACTTTTACCGCTTCTCCTGGGAAGACGGTGAGAGGCTTGGATGGGTGGGGAGGAGAGGGACCAGGAGGAGGCACAGGAACCAAGTCTACAGAGTGAGGGATCAGGGTGGTCCTTGGGGCTGTAGATAGACTCCAGGAGCAAAGCCGAGAGTGAGCATAGACTGAGGTATACCTTTGTGGCTGGAATAGTTCTAAGGGTTAAAGTTTAACTAATGCACTGAACACTTGTTAAGTGGTAGAAAAGGGGAATCAGGTACTAGCAGTCTGTTTGCAAAGCTTAAAGCCTCATCAGAGGTCTTCCTCTCTTGGATCCCCTCTGTATGGCATTGGAGCATGGGACAGGGAGAGTGCATTGCTGGTGTGTGTCTGGTTCATTCAGAAGATTGCAGGTGGAGGACCAGAAAAATGGAATTGCCTCTGAGCCCCACATGCTGCCTGTCCCTGCTCTCTTTCTCAATGGCAGCAGCCAGTCACTCAGGCCAGGGCATTGCCAAGCTGCCTCATGCCTGCTCCATGGAGCCCATAATCGTGACTGTGAACTGCTTCCTGCAGACATTTCCCAGATTCTGACCTTGTCCCTGTGGCTGCCTTCTGGGCAGTGGTGTTGCAGGGCCAAGGCCCACAGTGACGCTGCTGGAAGCTGCTGGCCCAGGCATTCCAAGAGAGTGTCTTGCATCCGAAGGATTCGGCCCCTTTCTCTTGCCCTGTGCTGGGCAGGTCCTTCAGCCCCTTCTGTCCTCCCTTCTCCCTGGCAGTGGACAACATCCTCATCCCAGAGAACCGGGCCCATTTGTCCCCAGAGGTGCAGCTGAAGGAGCTGCTGGAGAAACTGGACCTGGTGAGCGCCATGCGGTCCAGTGGGGCCCGTACCCGCCGTGTCCGCCTGCTACGCCGGGAAATCAATGCCCTTCGACAGAAGCTGGCACAGCCACCACCACCACAGCCACCATTACTAAACAAGACATTATCCAATGGGGAGCTGCCAGCAGGGTCACAGGGGGATGCAGCTGTGCTGGAGCAGGCCCTGCAGGAGGAGCCAGAAGACGATGGGGACAGAGGTGAGAGACAGTAACAGGAAGGCAGGGGGTTGGAAGGTAAGGAGGGACAGAGGCTAAGCTGAAATCCCATAATGGGGGTATCCTTTCTGAGTTTATATCTGACACTTGTGGGCAAGCAAAAGGCCCTGAAAGGGTCAAACTTCCATGTGTACTCAGGGATGATGTTCAAAATATTTAACAATCGATAGAGACCAAAATTTATCACAGTAAATGTTGGCTATTGTATTGGAGTGGGCTCCTTCTGAAGGCCCCGGTGTAGATATTCCATTGCTGGATTGTGGGGAGTTTCAGGTGGTGCAGCCCAGCAACTATTCATTAGCTAATTAAGTATGTCAGTATTTTGTACTTGATCCAACCGTATTGTACATACCAGTTAAATGTCAGCCTACCTTACATCATCATGTGGAGAGACTGTTAGAGCAGGTTAGGTTGGGGTGTGAGCAGATAGCAGAGAAGGAAAGACCTTAGAGTTTTGAGTCACCTCATGGTTTTCACCCCATCTGGCTGAATCTACAGGCCCATCCCAAGTAGAGAGGCCAGACTATAAAAGATAGTTGGTTTCCACAAATTTTCTTAATCTTGAGAAAAGACAAAAAAAGAAAAGAAAAAAGATAACTGGGGAAGTGAATCTCAGAAACCCAGGAACCTTATAAGCTAAGCTGCTTCTCATTCTTCTCCTTCGTTGGGGATGAAATTGTCTCCCTCATTCGTACCTGCCTTTGGATCTGAGCCTACAGCTTGGGAGGGCCTGTCATGCACACAGGCCGAAAGATTGGGAGTTATTTCCAGTGGATAGGGACCCAAAGAGCAGGTAACAGCCCATTTTATTTTAGGTTGGCAGAGAGGGGGGACATGGCTGAGAGATCACATTTGACATTAGAGGGCTTTGTGTCCATTGCGAGCCTCTGGACTCCCCATGTGACAGTCAGCATGCCACTTGTATCCCTACTTCTGGGGCTGTGGCAGTACAGAGTTGTGCCCAGTGGGCCAACAGCATCACCTAGAAAATTAAAAAAAAAAAAAAAAATCTCAGCCTCACCTCCCGTAGATTCAGTTAGGGATGTCTGGGCTTTGGCTTGGAAGTCCCAATTTTTAAAAGTTTCAAGGTGGTAGGTGAGCAGACATGTTTGGCAACCACTGATTTAACTTACTTGGTCTCTGTTTTTCCGTATCTGTCAACTTTTTCTGCCTGCTGTACTTGCTCTCACTTGGGTGATGTGAAATAAAATCAATTGACAGATGAGAAAACTCTTGAGTCCAGTGAGCATTGTAGACACCTAATCTGTCAAGCTGAGACTTAACCTATTTATTGATTAAGCATGTGGCTTCCTTGGGTGTAAAGCAATGGTTTGCAGTCCTCACTTCGTTAGAAACACCTGGTAAGCTTTAAAAAACAAATACTCCATTTTTACAAACTTGGTTTCAATTGGTATGGGATGGGCCTAGGCATTAGAATTTTTAAGAAACTTCCTATGTGATTCTTATTAATAGCCAGGATTGAGAACTACTGGTATAGATAAAACTTAGTTCTCCTGGGGATGGGTACAATGGCTCATGCCTGTAATCCCAGCACTTTGGGAGGCAGAGGCAGGAGGATTGCTTGAGTCCAGGAGTTTGAGACCAGCCTGGGCAACATAGGGAGACCCTGTCTCTACAAAAAAATTTTTTTCAAAATTAGCCAGGCGTGGTGGTATGTGCCTGTAGACTGAGGCAGAATAATCACTTGAGCCCAGGAGTTAGCAGTTGCAGTACGCTGTGATCAAACTACTGCACACCAGCCTGGTCAACAGAGCAAGATCCTGTCTCTGAAAAAAGACAAACAAACTTAGTCCTCTCTCTTTGCTTCAGATCTAAGACCTTGTATACGTCTCAAGCCTTATAATAGCTCATGCCTTTGGTTTTTTGGTTATCAGTGTCAGTATCTAGCTTATAGGAGCAGACTCTTTCTAAAATGTTCAAGCAGGTTCTCTTTTTTTCTAATAGATGACTCCAAACTGCCTCCTCCACCAACCCTGGAGCCCACTGGGCCTGCACCTTCGTTGTCTGAGCAAGAATCCCCCCCGGATCCCCCGACTCTGAAACCCATCAATGATAGCAAATCTCCAAGCCGATTCCTTAAGCCCAGAAAGGTGGAAGAAGATGAGCTCTCGGAAAAATCACCACTGCAGCTGGGGAGTGAGCCTTTGCAGCGCTTGCTCAGTGATAATGGCATCAACAGACTGTCCCTCACGGCCCCTGATACCCCTGCCGGTACCCCTCTTAGCGGTGTGGGTCGCCGCACATCAGTCCTCTTCAAGAAGGCCAAGAATGGGGTTAAGATACAGAGAAGCCCAGACAGGGCCCTGGAGAATGACGAAGACCATGGTGTGGCAGGCTCTCCTGCCTCTGCAGCCAGCATCGAGGATGAGCACCACTCCCGGAAGCGGCCAAGGAGCAGGAGCTGTAGTGAGAGCGAAGGGGAGAGGTCCCCCCAGCAGGAGGAAGAGACAGGTGACCCTGCCTGTGACTTCTCTTGCTACTTCACATCTGCTTTTCTGCTTTGCCTTGCCAGCCAGCACCTTCCCCAGTTGGCCATCTCCCTAATGGCCCTGTTGGACAGCAGTAGTAGCATTGAGGGCACCATAGTTCACAGTCGGGCCTGGCATGTGAGTAGCAGCCAGGGGAAATAGACTTTGAGCAGGTATTTTCCAGAGAGCCAGATTACGTCTGGACTCTCACTGGCCCTGAGGGGAATGCAGTGTTAGGTGGAGTAAAATGATCTACCTTTGTTTCAGTTCATTCATCAAATATTTGTATCAGGCACTGTTCTAGGCACTGGGGGAAAAAAGCAATGAACAAAACAGACAAAAATCTCCTCTCTTATGGGGGAAATAGATTAAAAGCAAATGAGTAAACTGTATCTTATATTAGAGGCTTTGGAGAAAGATCCAGCAGGGAAGGAGGATACGGAATGCTAGGGTGGTCTTAGAGAGGGTGGCCAGATCCTCTAAGGAGATGGTATTTGAGTAAAGATCTGAAGGAATTGAAGACGAGCTATTTGTGTGTCTAGGGGAAGAACATTCCAAAAAGATAGGCTAGAAAGTACACAGGCCCTGGAGGTGAGAACATGCCTGCATGTCTGAGGAACGGTGAGGGAACAGTTTGGCTACAGCAGTGTGGGTGGGGTGGGGTGAGGTGGTGGTAGAGGTAGGTGATGGAGGCTGAGGCTCCATCACTAAAGAAAGGTTTTTTTCTTTTCTTTTTTTTAATTTGAGGCGAGTCTTGCTCTGTCGCCCAGTCTGGAGTGCAGTGGCATGATCTCAGCTCACTGCAGCCTTTGCCTCCCAGGTTCAAGTGATTCTCCTGCCTCAGCCTCCTGAGTAGCTGGGACTACAGGCGCCCACCACCCGCCTTGCTAATTTTTGTATTTTTAGTGGAGATGGGGTTTCACCACGTTGGCCAGACTAGTCTCCTGACCTCAAGTGGTTTGCCTATCTCAGCCTCCCTTAGTGATGGGATTATAAGTGTGAGCCACTGCTCTCGGCCTAGAGAGTTCTAATACACATCCAGCAGGAGCTGGTCATGAGTGGGGACAGGAAGTATTAAAGTAAGTCAGACTTCATTCCAGCTCTGGAAGGTTCACAGACCAATGGGCAAATGAATCTCTCAAAATGTAGAGGAACCACAGTGGTAAACAATGTGTTTTTACTTGTCACATGAGAGGTAACATTGCTAGAAGTGTTCAGGGTATTTGAACTGTAGTAATTGGGCTGAGCTGGCCCTGTGGGATGAGGGCAGAAAGGAATAGTTGTGAAGGCTTTAGGCTGGGGTGTGTGGGAACAAGGAAGAGGACAGACTCTCTGTGAGGGACAGCTTAGAGAGAGGCTTCCCAGAGCATCAGGAGCCAAGACTGGAGTGAGATGGGACTGAATGTGAAGGACTTTGAATGCCAGGCAGAGTACTTGTCTTGTTGGGATAGGGAAGACCCACTTTCTTGGCAGGGAGGGGCTGCTCTTGGCTTTTGCTCTTTGCATTCCTCATGTACTTTTATGTGGTGACTTTGGACTGTGTGGCCAGCACTTGCTTTTCTGTCTTCCTGCCTGACATTTTGTTTTAAACATACCTTTCCATCCCATCTGGCCAAAACTTTTCTGTATTAGGGGAGTAAGTTGGTATATACAGGCAAGAGATTTGAGGCCTGGAGTTAGGCATACCTGCACTCAAATCCCCAACTTCTTACTCTCTGTAACCACAGGAAAATTAATTAACTTCTCTGAGCCTGTTTCTTTATTTCTAATGTGGAGCTTCTGATACCTATCTTGCAGGGTTCTAAGAACTGGAAATACCCTTTATGAAGCATTTGGCGTATAGCAGTAGATGGTAGCAGTTATCGTTGTCATCCTCTCAGCTGTATCAGGGTTAGCCATACAGTGCTGAGAACACTGCATTAAAAGAATGAGAGATTCTGCTACTGGGAAATAGCTCTGTACATGAGGGCCACCCAACCTGAGGCGCCTGCTATTTGGAGATACTGCTACAATCCTGTCTCTCTCTCGCCATCCCAGTTGCCTGGCACTCAGGAATATTTCTATACAACCTAAGATGAATCTCACAAAAAGAGATGTTGATCCTTTATATGTGAGGCATCCAAAACACAGATGGCTTCAGTGATTTAAATTGTGGTCATAATGTTAGAGGCAGAGCCAGTTCAGAGGATAGACATTGTGGCTCAGACACCTGCTTTTACAGGAGGGACTTGCCTCACAGTTTTCTAGCTAAAGTGTCCTAATTTACAGCTTCCAAATTGGGTGCCTGGCCATTCTGTGCACCCCTCTTGGCTCAGCTATTAGAAATACAGGACTTTTAGTGTTGCTAGCAATTGGATAAAGGCCAGGCACAGTGGCTCATACCTGTAATCCTAGCACTTTGGGAGGCTGAGGCAGGAGAATTACTTAAGCTCGGGAGCTTGAGACCAGCCTGAGCAACATGGCAAGACCCTGTTTCTACAAAGTTAAAAAGTTAGTTGGGCATAGGGTGCATGCCTATGATCACAGCTACTCAGGAAGTTGAGGCGGGAGGATTACTTGAACCTAGGCAATCAAAGCTACAGGAAGCCTTGTTTATGCCACTGCACTCTAGCCTAGGCAACAGAGCGAGACCCTGTCTCAAAAAATAGAAAAGTAAATTGGATAGATAGGAGAATGGAAGCCCTCACTTCAAGGTCATATCCCTGGAATGACCAGTCTTCATTTGCCTCTGAAGGGCTCCCCACTGTAAACAGACCTTCTCTCATTCATACTGAATAGTAAGTAAGTAAGGTATTATCTTCACTTTACAAAAGGAGAGGCCAAAGAAAGACCTCAAAGAAAGAGAAAAGGAACCTGTGTTTCAGAGCCCAGCCTAGAATGCCAGGTTCTGACTCTCCCAGGAAATTCTGGGCTGCTTTAATTCCACTGAAGAGGACTCCCCAATCCTCAATTTGGATTAGCCCTGTGAGATAACTCAGGGTGTGGTTGGTGAAGGGCCCTTATCCTTCTCTAGTCTCTCTTGACACCATCCCCAGAGAATCAAACTAGCTGTTACCAGCTGCATGATGGATAGGGTATGGGAGTGTTTATCTGAAGAGGCAAGGCAGGTGGGTTCCTGAAAAGGGCAGAGAAGAGTCCGTGATAATTGAGGTTTGAAATTAGAAGCAGATCCAGGGACTTAGGAGCCAGCCAAGGTGGGAGAAGTCTCCCTTTGAAGCTGAATGACAGTAGCTGAATAAGCTGTGTGCTATGGTTTCCTTAAAGTAAAAGCAGAAGGATGGGAAGGAAATTGCAGTGTCTGCTCCTTGCCCTAGGCAGCAATATATCCCCCCAAACCTTTGTCTTTATCAGATCTTCTCTACCACCCAAGACCCATTCTTAAAGGGAAAGGAATAGCCATCCTTTCTCCACTCCTCACTGAGCCCTCCTGAGGTGGCTGCCTCACACTGTAGCATATATTAGGAAGGGGGATTTCTGCACTCAGACTCACTGTGTGTGTCCTTGGCAGGCATGACCAACGGCTTTGGAAAACACACCGAAAGCGGGTCTGACTCGGAATGTAGTTTGGGTCTCAGTGGTGGACTGGCATTTGAAGCTTGCAGGTAAGAACACATTCCCCAAAGCTTTGTCAGCAGCCCTGCCACCTCTCCTTTTACTCTCCATTCAGCTATAGATTGAACCTCCTCCTGCTTACCTGTTTCTTTCTTCTCCCACTCCTACTATTTCCTGAGGCCTCTGATCTGTAACTCTGGGAGTTCCAAGGAAACAGGGTAACCCTTGACTCTCTGGTATGATCTAAGAGAGTAAGAGCAGTACTGATGCTTTACAGGGTTTGTGGGGCTGAATTTGGACTCTAGAGGATAGGGAAAGCTGTCTCTTATTGCTCAGTGAAATTAACATTTGAACCAACGTCCCCTGCTACCCCTACACACATAGACAACCCAGCCTTTTACAGACTTGGTTTTTGCTCTTTGCCTTTTGGGGCATCATAGCTTCTTCATAGAGGTGTGGTGTAGGTATGTGAAATGAACAAGTAGGAAATTTGGAATTGCCTTTTTTTTTTTTTTTTTTTGAGACAGAGTCTCGCTCTGCTGCCTAGGCTGGAGTGCAGTGGCGTGATCTTGGCTCACTGCAACCTCCGCCTCCTGGGTTCAAGTGGTTCTCCTGCCTCAGCCTCGCAAGTAGCTGGGAGTACAGGCACGTGCCACCATGCGCAGCTAATTTTTGTATTTTTAGTAGAGATGAGGTTTCACCTGTTCAGCCTGTTGGCCAGGCTGGTCTTGAACTCCTGACCTCAAGTGATCTGCCTGCCTCAACCTCCCAAAGTGTTGGGATTACAGGCGTGAGCCACAGCACCTGGCCTGGAATTGCCTTTTATTCGGACAAAGGCCGCAGCTCTTCTTCTATCCTTGAACTGAAAAGGGATGAATTTCTTCACATTGTTTTATCTGAAGGGAGGGTTTCTCAGACCAGAACCTTAAAGTTTCTTCTAGGCCCAAGGCTTTATGGAGCTCCTTCTCTGTGTTATTCTGTGTTCTGCAAGACATCAGGGTGGGGAGGACTCTTGGAAATGAGAAACCCTTAGTACCACAAAGGAAGAGTGACTTGTCCTGAAGGCTAATGTCTTGGCCCCACCACAAGACTGCTGAATGGATCCTAGGTTCAAAGTAGGGGAGGAAGGTCCCAGGGCAGCACCAGAAGACTATATATTTGTGTTTGAAGTGCTCCCAAGGCAGATTAGGCATGTGTTCTGTTAGACATTCAGTTTACCTGGGCAGTAGGACTACTGGTAGGACTGAGGGGGTCCCCAGCTACTCCTTGGCCCTGGAGTGGTTCCCTGCTTTGGTTTCTTTGAGATTCCCCTACCCCCAGCCAGTCCTCAAAGTTGACCTAACTTCCTATTGCAGCCTCCATAGATACAGGGGAAGTAGATGGGAAAAAAGTATCAGGCACAGGAAAGGAAAAGAGATTTCAGAATCTTACAAGATGCTTCTAGCCTGGCCTTGGGTTGAAGTTCCTGACTCCTTTCAAAGATAAAGTGCCTGGAAGCCCAATTTATTGGGATCAGGGCAGGATCGGACCCATCAAACTATCCCTTTCTAGCCCTTGACTAAAGGTGGAAGGTGTGTTGGCATCTTCTATGAAGGGCATTCTTTTCAGCTGTGAGCCACAAGAGCAAGCCAGGCCGGGCTCTGGTTAGCCTGCTGATTGAGGTGGTGTGTTTGCCTTTTTGCAGAACTCCAGTGCAGTGCCCTTGATTTATCTGGGGCCCCTTGGAGGAAGTGTGTATTAATATTTCAGGGTTTAAAATAGGAGATTCAGGGGTTTCAACTGCAAGGGTGGTTTTCTTTTTCTTTTTCCCCCTATACTGGGTAATAAGTACGTAAGGGAAGATCTTATTTATTAGACCAGAATTAGAAATAATCTTGAAACAACTGGTCACTTCACTAACCCATCCCCCACCCCCCCTTTTTCACTTACCCCTTGGCTTTATCTTTTCTGATGATTTTTCTGAGCAGGTTTTATAGGTCACTCATTCAGCTATTGATAATTGAATACCTACTGTATGCCAGGTATTGTTCTAAGCAATAAGGTATCTGTTCTCATGGAGATTTTCTTCTCAGGTGTCTATTCTCATGGAGATGGATGTTAAACCAGTAAATAAGATAATTATAGGTTGGGTTGTGTTTTTAGGCCTGGGTAACTTGAAAAGAGGGCTGAAATACAGGCCATGATTTAGTCAGTTATGCTTTCTTCTATAAATCAGAAACATACAGACCATTTTTGGTGTTGCATCCTGTTTATTGACTCATCCTTCTCAGAGCTCATTCTATAGTAAAATATTAGCAGTTAGTAAGACTTTAAGTAAGACATTAAAATTTACTATCCTTCATATGACAATAACTACAGCTGCCATTTATTGACCTCATGGTACGTGCTGTTCTGAGGGCTTTATGTGTTCAATTCATTAATCCTTATAGCAACACGTGGGGAGTGCAAGTCTTGGAGAAGTTAAGTAACTTGCTGAAGGTTACAGAACTGATGACAAGAGTTGGGTTTTGAACCCAGATAGGCTCCAGTTTCTTACCTACTTTGCTGTGTTCTGTTCTGTTGTATTTGAAGATGTCTCCCCAGTTTTTTTATGTGAACTGTGATTTTTTTTTTTTTGTCTTGATGTGAACTTTGAGAGGCTTTTCTGATAAAATTGTGCAAAGCCTCAAAGTCTAATATGTTGGCAGATTTTTGTAGAGTGAATGGGAACTGAATCCTAAATGTAAACTGGGTATTTTTTGTTTTTTTCCCAAATGGTTCCTATTTTGACTAGCAATAAAAAACTACCAACCTAACTACTGGTTACTGAAAAATTATGATTCATTGGGTTTTGGTTAAGCAAAGTTTTCTTAGCATAAGATCCTCATAAAGTCAGTTCTGGTTCAATAAAACAGGAGTACCCTACTCTCCATCAAGTTCCTACTCCTGGCCGTTTCTTATATCACCAAGGGTTTCTTTAAGCATTTCTGCTTTTCTGCAGATTGACCACCTTTTTTTTTTTTTTTTTTTTTTAAAGTCTCACTCTGTCATCTGTGCTGGAGTGCAGTGGCATGATCTTGGCTCATTGCAACCTCTGCCTCCTGGGTCCAAGCGATTCTCCTGCCTCAGCCTCCCAAGTAGCTGGGATTACAGGCATGCAACTCCATGCCCAGCTAATTTTTTTTGTTTTTTAGTAGAGACGGGCTTTCATCATGTTGGCCAGGCTGGTTTCAAATTCCTGATCTCAGGTGATCTGCCCGCCTTGGCCACCCAAAGTGCTGGGATTACAGGCGTGAGTCACCACACCCGGCCAACAACCTGTTCTTTAAGCATTTTTTAGTAGAAAAAACGGGAGTAATATATTTTGAAGTTTGGATGGAAAAAAGCCCTAGCCACATAATTTTTGACCAGAAACTGTGGTCATACATTAGAATTGCATGGGAAATAATTTGAAAATACTGATGTGCAGTTGGGCTTTGGTTGTAACATTGCTTTACTATTGCTATTCTCATTTTTGCTTATCACTTTTTAGTCTTTGTTTAATACATATTTTGCCTCTTTGCAGTAGCCATGAAAAAAAATTGGTCCACTTTTTTTTTTTTTTTTTGAGATGGAGTCTTGTGCTGTGGCCAGGCTGGACTACAGTAGCATGATATCACCTTACTGCAACCTCTGACTCCCTGGTTCAAGGGATTATCCTGCCTCAGCCTCCTGAGTAGCTGGGATTACAGTCACATGCTACCACACCCAGCTAGTTTTTGTATTTTTAATAGAGACAGAGTTTCACCATGTTGGCCAGGCTGGTCTTGAACTCCTGACTTTGTGATCTGCCTGCCTTGGCCTTCCAAAGTTTTGGCATTACAGGTGTGAGCCACCATGCCCAGCCCACTTTTCAGTTTAAAAAATCCACTTCTCTCTATCCAAGAAAAACTTCACATATAAACCATTTGGAAGTGAGAAGTGATTTTTTTTTCCAATTTAAAACAGTCTTTTCTAATTAAGGAAGTATGATATGTCCACTTTAGAAAATTTGGCAAAGAGGCAAATATTTGAATCTCAAAAATAAATTGGTTTCCAAAGAAGAAGCAATGTGAACCAAAGCAAAGAATTCTGGGCAGATGTAAGATGGCCCCTTTTCATGGCAAGGCTGCTGAGACTGTGGAAGGACTGACAGAAGACTGGGGTGACCTTTCCTTTGGATGAAGTCCAAGGGTTCTGAGCAGGGAAACGAGCAACTCCCTCCAGGTTCAGTCCTTACATGTAGATGACATGGTTCCTCAACACCTCATAGGAACTTTTCAGTGAAAAACATGGGTTAGTGTGAGTTTTTAGGGGAAGATGGAAACTATCTTCCCTGAAGAGTTTTTGCAGCTCCACTCCTGTCAGAGATGAGAGAAGGGAGAAGGGGAGTGGGCATTTTAGTCATTGAAATTGCTCATTTCACCCCTCTCCCTGCTCTGTGTGCAGTGGTCTGACGCCCCCCAAACGCAGCCGTGGAAAGCCAGCCCTGTCTCGAGTGCCCTTCCTGGAAGGTGTGAATGGAGACTCTGACTACAGTGGCTCAGGTGAGGAGCAGTGTTCAGGCAGAGCTCAAGGGGCCAGGCCTTCTGGGGAGCCAGCTCTTCAGGCAGCTGCACTGCTGGGCTCAGAACCAGGCAGCCAGTCCCTGAGCTCCCCAAAACTCTTGGACCAGTGGGCAGGGAGATGGCCTTTTCCCAGGCCAATCATACTCTTTTTTTTTTTTTTTTTAATTGCATCTTAAATTTGAATAGGTTATACATGACCATATTAATAAAAATCAAAAAGGCACAAAAGGGTGTATAATGAAAGCTACCATCCCCTTCCTGAAACATCAACTGTTAGCATTTTCTTTTATATCTTTCCAGAGGTAATCTGTATGTATACAAGCCAAAACTTGCATGAATAATTAAGAGAGTGAATGGAGAAGCCTGATATGCACATGTTCCTCTAAACCATTTCTCTTTTCCAGTTAAGAATATATCATGGAGATCCTTCTGTGCTTTTTATTGGCTTCCTAGTGTTCCATTATATAGGAATGCCATCATTTGCTTAGCCAGCCCTCTAAAGATGGACATTGAGATTTTTACTTATTATCATAACCAGTGTTGCAGTGAGCAATCTTATGCATAATTTTATATCCATAGGGAGTATATCTATAGAAGTGGAATTGCTGAATTGAAGGAAGTGTGTGTTTGTAATTTTTATGGATACTGGCTGTCAGCATTCACTAACGTACTGATAGCCTATGTCACTGAATCTCACACATACATAACCATGTAGTTTCATGGGCCTCGTCTCCTTGGACAAAAGGAATAAAGGGCAGGGCAGGACCTAGGGGAGAGGTCTGGGGTGGTGCTCAGGTAGGGCAGGTGCAGAGCAGGCTGTTCTCTGCACTCACCTCTGTCCAGCCCTGCTGTACAGGGGTGTGCACTCCCTGGATGCCCTGTCTTTGAAGTTTCCATCTAACATACAGCTTACAGGGCTTCTCTTCCTTCTTTCCTTTACCCAACTGCTTTATTTTCCCATAGCGTCAGTTTCTTTCTCGTATATGTGTTGATGAATGCATGCCTGTGTGTTTCATTGCTTTTTGTAACTGTCAGTGCCCAAAAGGCAGGGCTCGTGTCTAGATGAATTTATATAGCATCTTGCACAAAACCAGGAGTGGATTGACACACTTTGTGCTTCTGGTGGTGACATCTTATTCTTTACTTTTAAAACCACATGCTCATTAAAATGATGCCAAAGGATGTTGACCTCCCATAGTTCCATCACTGTAACATGATTGTCTTCATTTCTCTGCGTTGCCTTCTGTTTATTTTAGGCACATTTTTAACAAAATGCTAATCCAAACACACGCACTTTTGTATTCTACTTTTTTCAATGTTATTTTATACTTTCTTCATTTTGACACATAATCTTTATATATCTCATTATTGGAACAATGATCTAACAATGCATTATAATTTACTTAACCATTCTATTGTTAGACATTTGGGTTATTTCCAGCTTTTAACATCATATATAATGTAGTGAACCCATATTTTTGTTTAAAATTCTTTTATTCATCTTTAAAGTTATTTTTCTTAGAATAAATTCCCAGGGAAGGAATTTACTGGAACAGGTGGTTCATACATTTTTTAAATGGCTCTTCAGACATACTGCCAAATTACATTCCATAAGGATGGGTTTGGTCTGCAGTTGCATCAGTAGTATGTGATTGCACCAGTTTCCACTCAGTCTACCTCTTTTGTATTGAATTTAATCTTTTTATTGTTAACTGCTATTGACTAAATAGGTGCAGAACAGTATCTTATTATAATTTTTGAACATTTTTTAAAATTACAAGTAGAATTAAGCACAGTGGCTCATGCCTGTCATCCCAGCACTTTGAGAAGCCAAGGCAGAAGGGTTGCTTGAAGCCTGGAGAGTTGCTTAAAGCCAGGAGTTTGAGACCAGCCTGGCAACATAGTGAGATCTTACCTCTACAAAAAATTAAATAAATAAATAATTTTTTTTTTAAGGCGAGATAGTAATATTTCCTTAAAAATAATTGGCCGGGCGCGGTGGCTGAAGCCTGTAATCCCAGCACTTTGGGAGGCCGAGGCAGGTGGATCATGAGGTCAAGAGATCGAGACCATCCTGGTCAACATGGCGAAACCCTGTCTCTACTAAAAATACAAAAATTAGCTGGGCATGGTGGCGCGTGCCTATAATCCCAGCTACTCAGGAGGCTGAGGCAGGAGAATTGCCTGAGCCCAGGAGGCGGAGGTTGCGGTGAGCCAAGATCGTGCCATTGCACTACAGCCTGGGTAACAAGAGGGAAACTCCTCCTCAAAAATAATAATAATAATAATAATAATAATTTCCACTCTGTTAGATTGGGACTTTTTTCCTTGGTTGAGTATGATCACCTGTGCATTCCAGTGTATAGATGTGGGGAGGGGAAGAGAGGTTCTTTTGTGTGTTCAGAAACATCTGTGAAGCACTCATTCACATGCGCTAGTGCACTGAGTGCAGAGCAAAGTAAGATGAAAAGATGCAGTGCCCGCCCCAGGGATACCCAGTCTAAGGTTCTGACAAAAGAAGGCATGTGAAGGACTTGCAGACTGCTTGGCTCTACTGAGTGCTGTGCATCCAGGTGACCTAGATGACCAGGTGTGACTCTGTCAGAAAAGAACTCATTTAGCAAGTAATTTTACCAAGATGTCCTCCCTGGGATCTTTGTTCATGAAGCCTCCATCATGAGGACTCCCCACTCAAGGAGGCCCAGAGAGCAGTATGTAGCATTGCCCAAGCTGGATTATGGCCCTCCTTCCCTAAGGCCCTGAGGATGAAGCAGTTACATTTTTCCAGGGAAAGCCATCTTAGGGTTCTAGTTCAGAGGTCGGTGAACTATGGCCTGTTGCCTATATTTGTATGGTCCATGGGCTAAGAATGGTTTTTACATTTTTAAATGATTGAAAAGAAAAATCAAAAGAATGATATTTTATAACATGTGAAAATTATATGAAATTCAGATTTCAGTGTCCAAAAAGTAAAGTTTTATTGGGACATAGATATTTATTCATTTATAGATTGTGTGTGTGGCTGCTTTCATGCTATGCCAGCAGTGTTGAGTAATTGCAACAGAGCCCATGTTGCCCACAGAAGCTAAAATACTTACTATATGGCCCTTTACAGAACTAGTTTGCCGACCCCTGATCCAGTCTAACTTCTAAGGAAAGGAGAGGGAAAAGGAAGGGTGGAGGGAATGTTGTGACTCATTCCTGGGTTGCCCCGGTCAAATGGAGGCCACAGGCAGGTCTTTTGGGCACCATTCCAAGTCCCCTTTGGGTGCTGTCTCCTCCCCTCCCCACTACCAGGCAGAAGCCTCCTGCTGCCCTTTGAAGACCGCGGAGACCTGGAGCCCTTGGAGCTGGTGTGGGCCAAGTGCCGAGGCTACCCCTCCTACCCTGCCTTGGTGAGTCTGCCCCAGACACCACCGTCCTACCTCCCCTGGGCGGTTCTGGCCCCCTGCCTTGCCTTGGGGGCTTATCTGATTGGATTAAACCAGCAGAGTGTGGTGGGAGTCAGGGTGCCTTTAGCTGTAGAAGGGAGGGGGGTTTTGCCCCAGCCTGAGTGGGTCAAACTAGCAAGGCTCCCAGTTTGGGGCACTAAAAATAGACTAACAGTATGCAGATCAAGGCTAGGGTTCCTAGAGTTTTAATAGCATTTATTTATTTGTTTATGCATAAAAGTAACAGGGCCCATTGTAGAGAATCTTTAAAGCTACTGATAATGCTTAGATGTTTTATTAAACATTTGTCATGCTGAGTCCTTGAAATACTGAGGAAAGTGTGATTATTCCATTTTGTAGGGAAGAAAACTGACGATTTGTAGTCATCCAGCTAATAAATGACAGGGTTGGAATTTGAGCCCAGGGCTTAAAATGTGTGATGTCAAAGTCTGTGTTCTGAGCCACTGAGTTCAAAATCATCCACAGTCCTGTCTATTCAGGGATAACTTGGGGTGTATAGCCACTTACCCTTTAATAAAAATTTTATAAGTATGCATATATATGAGACCATACTGCTTTTAGCCTCCTTTTAACTTAACAGCATATCATGAACATACACATCTTATGCCATTAAACATTCTTTGTCAACATCACTTTTAATGATTGCATCGTCTTCAGTTGTATGCATGTACCATATTTTAACCATTCCCTAGTTGGTCACTTAGATTGTTTTGAATTTTTCACTATGATAAACAGTTGGCAATAAACATCATTGTAGCTTTACCCTTGTGCACATCCATGATTATTTCCTTACAGTGAATTCTTAGGAGTGCCTTCTTGGGGCAAAGTCTATGCAGAAATCTGATACAAGTTGCCATGTTGCCAGAATTTCATTTTGGTTTATACTCACACCAGCAGTAACTAAGCTTTTCACTTCTTTCATAGTAGCAGCAGCTAAAACTTCAGTTCTTACCACCTTGATTATTATTTCTGAACTCTTTCTTAGTTGGGGAGGTAGTGTCCACTTGGCTCTGAAAGATACCACTGATACTAAACCTTTGGGACATGTGAGAATAATCTGGGGGAATTTTTAAAACAATACCCATAGCAAGTCAGCTCCACCCCAGCACTATCAAATTAGACTCTCCGAGGCCAGACTGAGGCATGAATATTTTTTAGAAAACATCCCAGATGATCTATAGCCAGGGATGGGAAACACCCTACCAGCCTCTTAATGTATACAGGACTCTGGGTTTCTCCAGCCCCTTCATATCTGCGACTCTTTTTTTTTTTTTTTTTGAGACGGAGTTTCGCTCTTGTTATTCAGGCTGGAGTGCAATGGTGCTATCTCGGCTCACCGCAACCTCCGCCTCCTGGGTTCAGGCAATTCTCCTGCCTCAGCCTCCTGAGTAGCTGGGATTACAGGCATGTGCCACCATGCCCAGCTGATTTTTTGTATTTTTAGTAGAGACGGGGTTTCACCATGTTGACCAGGATGGTCTCGATCTCTTGACCTCGTGATCCACCCACCTCGGCCTCCCAAAGTGCTGGGATTACAGGCTTGAGCCACCGCCCGGCCATATCTGCGACTCTTAACAGCAGCCTTTTAAGACAAGAAGAGGAGGAATTCTGATCCTGTTTGGTCAGATAAGGAAACTATGGCCCAAAGAGGTTATAGTAGTACAATTTGTTGGAACCATATTGGAAACCACGTTGCCTACTCTAGTCCCTCCGTAGCAGTAGTAGGTGGGGAAAATCCTTGCTGTACTACAGCAGCTGAAGAGTGAGGGCCTCGGGCTGCCTGCCCTTCACAGGGCTTTCTGCCCTGCCAGTGGTGAAACCACAGGACTCCCAGCTCATTCATTAAAGAAGTGATTAAGCTGTGCAGGTTTGGATTTAAAAAACAAACAAAATACCTCACAATGCAAAAACGCTCATCTAAAACTCATCTTTTTTTTTTCTAACTACCTTCTTAATTATATACTTTCTCTCATGATTAAAGAAATTCAGCCACCACCTGAACACAACCTGTGTTTTTATTTTGGTGTATGCTCTCCTAGTCTTTTTCCTATGCATTCTTCAGTGTGTATTTGCATCCATAGATAGTGGGTATGCAGTTTTTAATTTTTTCTGGCTCTTGTCTTGTTTTTTCCTTGTCTTCTAAACATTTTTTTCTTTTCTTTTTAAGAGTAATATACCACATTATAGAAGTTTGGAAAAATAAAGGGGAAGGAAACAACACAAACCCCACCATTCTAATGTTGATTCCACGTATTTTGTATCGTTCTTAGTGTTCATATATTCATCTTATAGTTGTAATAATAGTGTACGTACACATATGTAAAGCCTTGTTACCATGTTGTTTTACATTTGCATAGTATTCTTGTTTTACATTTGTATAGTATTCGTTGAGTGAATGGACCATTTATTATTTTGGGACACAAAAGCTCTCCTCAGATAGCAGACTTACCCACCTTGTTTTTGCCCCCAGGGGAAATTTTTCACAATCTGTCCTCTGCAAGAATGCTGGCTTCCAAGGCAGGAACCAGCATGCCTTAGTCAAGAGGAAACGTTGTCAGAGTAGCCTCTTTGTCTTGTTTGGTAATCAAGGAAGCTCACAGGGGCTTGTATGGTTGTTCTCGCTAGAACCGTTTACTTCAATCCCTGGGAGTTTGACAGACAAGCTGGGAGAGAGAGTTTTATCAAATTACACACCTGGTGGGTAGGGTAAGGTGATTTAAGATGGTAAGTTTACTTCCTTAGAGTAAACTTCTAACCAGAACAGCTGCTTTCAGCTGCTTATCTTGAGAGGGATGTAGTGAAGTTGGCAGACATGCAAAGGTAAATAATGAGAGCAGTTTTTTATGAGAAGGGGCCCACTGGGACAGCGTATAGGAAGTAAGATTGCTGTATCTCTGGAGAAGTCTGCTTCCTCAGTAAGTTCCCAGTCTTTGCTCCCAGAGCGATTAGCTGTCTGCTCTGGAAGCAGGGGCTGTGTAGGAGGCAGTAGGCTGCGGAGGCCCAAGCCTTATCTGGTTTTAGTCCCAGTGTGGTTTTAGCCCCAGTGTGGTTTTAGCCAGCTACATCCTGCCTCTGTGCTTGGTGTTTTCCTCTGTCGGCTAACACCTGTCAGCAGACTTCTCAGCATCAGCAAGAGATTGAAATGAGATGCTGTGTGAATAATTAGCTTTGGAAACTTTGAAAGTGCTCCCTAGTCCTGGATTTTGATTGTTGTATTGATGCTGCTAGGCCTTTTGCTGAGCACCTACCTTCTCTGTGCTAGGCAAGGCGGGGCTGGATGCCAGAAGCAGACCTGAAGAAGAGAGGCCAGCTGCTGCCCTTGTGGAGCTTGTTGCCTCAAGGATTAATGCCTCAGTGGCCCTTGTTTTCACCCCCATCCCACCCCCACCCACCCCCACCCCCCGCCGCTCTTCATCAACCTCTAAGCTCATTCTCTAGCTATACACTAAGATCTCTGCTCTTACCATGGAGGTGTCACAAATGTATCTGGTCCATATATCAGGAAGGATAGTAGTTAGACAGAAAGGTAGTGGATAACCAGAGACCTTGTTAGACAGAACCAACTGGATGGTCTTCCCAGTGCAGAGCCTTCTTCATAGCCATGGTACCTAGGGAAGGCCCCCAAGCATTTGAGGTGAATTGCAAAGGTACTAAAGGGAAATTGACAGGAAAAAAGTGACCTCTACTCTTCTCTCCTAAAGGATATTGGAGGAAGGGGTTTGCCTGTCTGGTCTAGACGTCAGAGATATCCCACTCAGGCCTGATACTCCCCTGGTGTAGGTGCTTTAGCAGTTGGTCCTGCAGCTGGGGCACTGCTCACCCTGGCCTCCCTCACTGAGTGCCCATCTTCTATTCTGCCTCCAGATCATCGATCCCAAGATGCCCCGGGAGGGCCTCCTGCACAATGGCGTTCCCATCCCTGTCCCCCCGCTGGACGTGCTGAAGCTGGGAGAGCAGAAACAGGCAGAGGCTGGAGAGAAGCTCTTCCTTGTCCTCTTCTTTGACAACAAGCGCACCTGGTTAGTGGGTGCTGCTGTGAGGGGGCTGAGGGGCACACCAGGAGTCTGTGTCAGTACTGCTGTGCTAGTGAGATACACAGGGGCCATGGATGCAGTTACCCTTGTCTCCACTCAGGTGAAGGGGATGGTGTTACTTGCCCCATTAATAGTAACTGAGGGGTGTTGCAGATCAGATTCCCTGGGAAACACTCTGAGGTCAAGACCTGCATCAGAAGGCTTATTGAGGAGAGCTGTAGGGTGGGAGTGAGGCAGCACTGGGCAGAAGTTGAACCACAGCCCACTTGCTGCCTCTGCTCATCCACTGGGCACATCTGGAGCTGGGTGGCTCAGCAAGATAGAGACATCAGGAATTGGGGCTATGCCTTTTTACCCTGTGCCAACTAGTTATTGAATGCCACTGCTCTGAGACAGGGGTGTGGCCTTGGGCCAGAGGCTTCTTTGGTGGAGGGTGTTTGCTAGAGAGGGACTCAGATGAGAGCCTGTCGGCTTCTAACACTTCCTGTAGCTTCTGGGAAGCATGTTTCCATCCTGGACGGTTCTGGCCAGTGCAGTGTCCACTACAGGGGACTTGCTCATTCATGGTTTACAACACTTAAAAGTTTCTCTTAGAACCAGCAAGAGAGTCCTTTCACCTTAGCTTCTATAGAGTGAGGAGGTAGAACTAGCTAATAAAAATAGTGATGATAGTAGCTGCCATTGAGTGTTTACTCCATGTACTTACACAGATCATTTTATATATCTGATCACTTTTAATCTTCATTTAAATCTTCATTAATGCCCCTCATAATCCATTTTGCAGATGAGGAAGTTGAGGCTCAGAAAGTCTAGACCCTGTAGTCAGAACTGGGATACAAAACAAGATCTTGCTCCAAAGCCTGTATTGTTAGCCACATGTTATATTCACCTGGGGAGCTTTAAAAACACACACACACAGGGTACAGGTCCCACCACAGATCAGTTTATCAGTTTCTGGCATCAGCTCTACTTCCTAGCCATAACTCTGTAATTCTCTAAAGCAAGGCGAGACTCAGAGCCCTCCAGGGTGGCTCATCTGGCCCCAGAGGGCAGCGGGTGGGCCTCTCTTAGCCTATGGACCCTGACACCTCTCCAGAGTGAGGCCCCAGAGAAGGACCCAGCTGCAAAATGGATTCCATGCCATTCCTCCACTCCACTCCTGCATATCCTGCTTGCTGCCCTAAACTGCTGTGTTCTTGGTGGCCTCCTACATGGAGTCTCCCAATTTGCATCCCTCTGCCCTGTACCCTCACCCTGGCTTTGCTGGTCCTGGCCAAGTGGGGCCACAGGAGCCCCCTGTGAGACCCACTACTGCCCAGTGTCTTACTGTGCTTGCATTTCAGGCAGTGGCTTCCAAGGGACAAAGTCCTGCCCTTGGGTGTGGAAGATACCGTGGACAAGCTCAAGATGCTGGAAGGCCGCAAGACCAGCATCCGCAAGTCAGTGCAGGTGGCCTATGACCGCGCGATGATCCACCTGAGCAGAGTCCGGGGGCCCCACTCCTTCGTCACCTCCAGCTACCTGTAAGGGCAGGGCTGGGCCTACATCTGCTTGCCCTGCCAGATGTATGGCTGGCAGCTTCCCTCTCTCGTGGCAGGCCAGGGACTGGGCTTTCGCCCCACCATGGGCAAAGCCCCAGTTTTGACCAATTGCATGGTTCCCCTGGCAGGCCTGCTGTGTGCCAAAAACTCCCACCCAAGATCCCTCAGGGGATATTTCACTAAAGAACCAGTTAGAAGTAGAAACAGCTGTGGGGCTTGGGCCTAGCTTAGGAGATAGACCCGGCCCAGATGGGAAGAGGTCCTGGGCTCCTTCTTGAGGGGCTGTCTGGCCCCCTCCATCCTACTCCCACTAACTACACCTCAGGGCGGGTGAGGTTCTGACACTGATCCCAGAGATGCTGTGGATATGCCAGGGTCCCGAGGGGAATCTCCCCAAGCTCATTCTCTCTCCCCCTTGTCACCTATTCTCACACTTCTTTCCTGTCCCATCTTCTGCACCCATTGCCCAGTCTTGCTTTCTCTTTCCCATATTCCCTTTTCTTTTTCTCTTGTGCCAAACTGACAGAAACCGTCACCACACTGGTCTTTTTCTTTAATGTCTCATTCGCCTTGAGGCCAGCTGCTATGCCAGGTCGGTGTCTCTGCCAAGTTCCTCAGGGCCCAGAGAGAGGCCAGCCCACAACCTGGTGACCCCCTCCCCCAGGACACCACGTCCCACCCACAGACCTTCCCTTTTGCTGACGACACAACTTCCCAGCTCTGTGAGTATGTCCTCTGTATTGAGGCGGGTCCTCTCTTGCTTTTTCCTTTGCTGCCGCAAGGTGGGCCAAGCCTCCCGGGTGGGCTCCTGTCACACTGGGTGTGCGAGTGTCCATCTGTCCACGTAGATGTTGAGGGTAGTTGGGGTGGAGCTATGCCCGTCAGCCGAGTCTGCCCTCTTCCCCCTTTTCTCCTCATGGACTTTTTCTGTAATTGTAGTCGTAAGTTTCACTCTCTACCACCTGGATGGCATGGCGCCTGCCACCAAACATCTTCCTGGCCTGCGCTCTGCCGTGCCCTGCTTAGCCTCAGCTACTCCCACTTCCCAACTCCAGGGAATGCATTACTTTTATTTCAAACCCTCTGCCTCCTTCCTTCTTTCTCTTCAACCTCCTCCCCACCTTCACCTTCTCAAATATGGAAGGGAAAAAAAAAAAAAAAAAAACTGTGAACGGGGAATGCTGACTGACCAACACAACTTTCAGAGGCTTCAGTGTCTGTTCTCTGGACATTTCTTTTCACCTTCTGAGCACCAAAGTCGCAGGGCCAGTTGCAGGCTGCTGATTGCCATGTTGATTTTTAACCTGATGTTCTTTTTAATTGTTTTAAATTTTTCATAGGGGAGTTTTGGACAAAACAAAGTCACTGGGGAGATCACTGCCATTTTTACACACTTGACTTTTTAAAAATACAACCAACCAACCACAACTTCTTATACATTTGGGACATGAGCCAGAGTTTAAAAGGGAACCAACAAAACACTATAACTTAAAGGATGGGGTTTTGAATTTTGTACAATAATAAAAACATAATACAGCATATGGCTAGGGAAGGACATGGTGTATATAATTGTAAAATACTGTTCTAAATTATTCAGGCCTATAGTTTCCATTATTGGAGTCCTCCATTGTGTGGCCACACAGTGTCGTTGATTTAAAGGAGCCAGTGCTTCCCTTCTCCCCAGGTAGTTGGTCGGCTGTGGACTCTGTGACCTTTGTCTAAACCTGTGTTGTAACATCTTGGGGCTTTCTCCCTCTTTCTATGTATATCTTTCTCTTTCCCCCACAACACTTACTCTTCTTAGTCTCTCTCTTTATTTTTCAATCTCTGAATCTTTCGGTCTCTCTCTCTGAGTCTCATTTTTTAAAATGCTCTTTTAGAACGGGAAACGGCTCAGATCCTGCTGTGGCATGGGGCCTATGTGTCTCTGTCGCGTCTGCTGTGAAGCACATGATGCTCTATTTATTGTAGAAAGTGACTTTATTTGCTTTCTAGAATTGTTTATAACAGATGGTATAAGAGAGGTAATAAACAGAAAAATCTATGCTTGTAAAGAATACAAAAGTTAATTTTACCTACTATAATATGACTGTCTGAAACTTATTTTCTCTCTGAGAAATAAATGTTCTAATGGGCAGTAGTTGCTGTGCTGTGTTTAATGTGATCAGTAGGGGCCTACCCCTGTCTTAATCTCTACAGCCACCTCCTCAACAGACCAGGACCATTGAGAATGGGGTTGTCTAGCTAGCTATTGCAGTTTGCTAGCTAGTGAGGGCTCTTCTCTTTTTTTTTTTTTTTTTTTTTTTTTTTTTTTTGAAACAGGATCTCACTCCGTTGCTCAGGCTGGAGTGTAGTGGTGTGATCATAGCTTACTGCAGCATTCATTTCTTGGGCTCGAGAGATCCTCCTGCCTCAAGCCTCTCCAGTAGCTGGGACTACGGGCACATGCCATCATGCCTACCTATTTTTATTTTTATTTTTTATTTTTTGAGACGGAGTTTCACTCTTGTTACCCAGGCTGGAGTGCAGTGGCACAATCTCGGCTCACCGCAACCTCCGCCTCGTGGGTTCAAGCAATTCTCCTGCCTCAGCCTCCCGAGTAGTTGGGATTACAGGCGCACACCACCAGGCCCAGCTAATTTTTTTTGTATTTTTAGTAGAGACGGGGTTTCACTATGTTGACCAGGATGGTCTCGATCTCTTGACCTTGTGATCTACCCGCCTCGGCCTCCCAAAGTGCTGGGATTATAGGCGTGAGCCACCATGCCCAGCCTTTTTTTTTTTAATTTTTAGCAAAGATGAGGTCTCACTATGTTGCCCAGGCTGGTCTCAAACTCCTGGGCTCAAGCAATCCTCCCGCCTTGGCCTCTCAAAGTGCTAGGATTACTGGTGGGAGCCACCATGCCCAGCCTCTGTCTGTCTCTTGGAGCCCTGGGAGGAGGGTGAAGATGATCTCTGACTTTACTTCCCTCGCAGACAGCACTGCCACCTTCAGGGAGCTGTGGAAGGTCCATCCTACCTTCCCATGCCTCACCTCCCTGTGGTCATGTCCCTTTAGGAGTTTGCTCATTCAGAAGGAGAGTAACTCTTTGGACACACCTGGCACCTGTTTACCAAGCTTGCTGAACTTGAGACTCTAGGATGCTCACAACCCCTGTGTCAGTGCTGCTGTATTAATTCTGTAGATGGGTAGCTGGGACACACAGGGAAATATGGGCCTCACTCCTCTTAAAGCTGGAAGGCCTCCTTGAGCCTATATAGTCTTCATTTTACAGACAAGGAAACAGACCAGCAAAATTAAAAGACCAAGGTCAGCCAGCTAAGAAATGGTGGCAGAATTCTGGGACAAGGATCTGGCCAAGACTTTATGGGCGCCACAGCATTTCAAGACTCCACTGGCCTGTTCTGTATCATGCTTCTTTCTCAGGGGCTGTGGCTCCAGCATTTCTGGATAAGAACACCCTGAAGAGCAGTAGCAGAGAGGGGTTCCCAGAGACAGACTGCTTAGTTGCTGGGCATAGAATGGCTTTTCCCCTGTCTCCACCCGTATCCCATTCTGGTGCTACCTGGCTCCTATGCTTGTCTCAGTGGTGTGGCTGAGGATGCAGGGGTCTTCTGATTACCTCCTCCACGAGGCCTTTGACAGCCTTGTCTTTGAAGTCAAAATTCTCATTTTGGCATAACACACAAAGTACTGCCAATGTGCTAATAATCCTTGTATTATGTGTTGGGGCTGCAAAGACACATCCCTGGTCTCAAGATACTCACAACCTGATTTATAAGACACGTCTCACGTAACTCCCCATAAGGCCGGTGTGAGGGTCACAGACATGGAGGAGTTTGGGAGAGACACATGTTTAGTTGGGGAGCAATGAAAGCTTTCAGAAGAAGCAGTTAATTCAAGCCTTGACAAATGGGCTTAAGAAAGACATTATATATGAATTGTAATTTGAATTACAAAGACATTTTCAAGTTATTTACAAAGTAGGGTGAAATTATGAGCTCATTCTATAAACATTTTAGAAATAAAGGAAAAGTGGCCAGATGGGTAGGATTTTAGCAGGCAAGGCCGAGAAGAGGAGGCAAAGTCATGGCTCAGAGAGAGACTCTGTGTATTCCAGCTCCAGTGACTAGCTGACCTCCCGTGTGACTGGAAGCCACTGAGGTGGTGGGGCAGTGTATTGGGCTTAAAAGCTCTGTCACTATCACTCACTGTGTCACCTTGGTCCTCCCTGAGACGATGTAATAAAGGACCCTGAAGACAGTTTAAGGTAGGTGTCATTCGTATGTGGCAGGTAGCAGCATCCATTGAAAGATTTGAACAGGGCAGAGACCTGATTGGAGCTTGGCAACTAACCAAACATCAAAGTTAAAAAGCAGGAGTGTTAAGACAGGATGCTGGGTAGCTGCTGGAGCGATCTCTGGGTTTTGAAGGGAGGAGAAAGTGTAGTTTTTTATGAGTTTGTGTTGACTGTGGGACATGTAAGAAAAACCTACAGCAAGCAGATGGGAGTTGAGCCCAGAGTTCAAGGGAAAGATGGGAGCAGATGACAGAAATGTGGGCACACTGGATCCCACTGAGGCAGTTAGAAGAATGGCTGAGGAGGGCAAGGAAGGCAAAGGACAGACCTGAGGAAAGCCCCTTGCCTTTAAAGTCGTGTTGGGGGAGAGGTGGAGACAGTACCTTCTGTGAGGTCTGTTCTCCAGGGAGGGTCTCACAGGTAAGGTCAGCCCTCGCCCCGCTGTCTCATGCCACAGACGGAAGGGAGAGGCAGGTCAGATCTGCTCAGCACCACAAAGCAGGAGAAGGCAGCGCTGGACCAGAACTCAGCACCCAGCCCTTTCTCCTCTGCACAGACCTCTACATATTACTCAAGGTAGGCAAAAGTGTCCTCAATGAATTTTATCAATGTTATGTTAAAATTCATGAGCTCAAGTCTAAAATGATACTGTAATATTGGGACGTGTGTTGGACACACTAACTTCGGAATAGAGAATCCCATTCTCCTAACAAGTTTAAAAATATCACTGAAAGCATTTGCCAAAATCCCTGGTCAGCTTGGCTGCTTCCATTAATGTATTAGATGTCATTAGCACCTGAGTGTGAATGTGCCTGCCAGATAGGCTCTCCTGAACTGGCTAGGCTCTGAGCTTCACTTTGAGAGAAGTGGGGGCTAGTGGCAAGACTGCCAGGCTTGGAGCCGTGCTGAAGGAAAGATGGAGGGTATGGGTCTTGACTACCCTGAGTCTGCAGCCTCCCATAGTATCTGCAGAAGGGCACTGAGTGTGCAGGTCTCTGGTCCTGCTGGCTGCAGCCATCTGGCCTCTACTGGGGCTGGGATGAAGGAAGGAGGTCTTTGGAGGAGGGAAGTGGTTTCTCTAAAAGATGAGGCAGAAGTTTCTTACTCTGTGGTGAGGAAGAAGGGCCAGAGAAATAGTGCTGGGCTAGAGCTGGAGGGGAGTGCTGGCTCCACCCTGGTGATGTGGGAGCGGGGTGGGGAGGTGCAGGGTAGAGAAGGGTGGGGTCTCTGGTGAGGGCTCCACCCTCAGGCCTGTGCCCATGAACCTAGTTGAGGACAGGCACTCTTGGTTTTGAGCCCAAATGTTGCATTTGCCAAGACCACATCCCCATTGCAGGCCCAGCGAGGGGAATAAGGGAACTTTTCCCATTTCACTGGCATCTGGGGTGACCTTCTGTTTGCCTTTTCCCTTCAAGGGTGGCAGAAGGTAATTAGGGATAGAAAAATGTGTGTGTGTGTGTGTGTGTGTGTGTGTGTGTGTGTACATATACGTAAGTATTCTCTTCAACTTTAATACTCTTAAGGGTCAGGATTCATGGACTACACGCAGTCAAACACTACCACTGAGTTCTATCTCCATCACAGGCTACACAGAATCAAAAAAGCTAATTGTCCCCAAATTTCAGAAGGGCTGTGGTGCTATTTCCAAGAACATTTTGTGTCCTTTGCTCGGCACCTGTAAGGCTAGATGGAAGAGGCTGGATTCCACTGAACTCCTGAAGCAGTGTCTCAATTCCTTCTTTTTCCTTTCTGTTTGTTATTAATCCCTTTGGGGGATACAGAAGCCTTATTGGGGATGCAACGTTGATGGTTCCTCACGGGCAGGGAGTGCCACATAAGGGCCCAGGGGTAGCCCCTTCCCTCCAGCTTCACAGTCCAGAATGAGACCTGAAGGAGATTTTATCTAAACTGGTCATGAAAGATTATAAAATGTGTGGGGACTGTTTGTATGTAATGGGGGATAATTTTGTTTTTTTGTTTTGTTGTTGTTGTTGTTGTTGTTGTTTGGGACAGAGTTTCACTCTTGCTGCCCAGGCTGGAGCGCAATAGTGTGATCTCAGCTCACCACAACGTCCACCTCCCAGATTCAAGCCATTTTCCTGCCTCAGCCTCCCGAGTACCTGGCATTACAGGCATGTGCCACCATACCCAGATAATTTTGTTGTATTTTTAGTAGAGACATGGTTTTTCCATGTTGGTCAGGCTGGTCTTGAACTCCTGACCTCAGGTGATCCGCCCACCTCGGCCTTCCAAAGTGCTTGGATTACAGGCATGAGCCACCACACCCAGCCTACTGTGGGATAATTTTTAAGTGCAAAGGAGAAATTAAGAACTACCCTTATTCTAACCTTATTCAGAAATTACCCTTATTCAGAAATTACCATTTTAATGTAATTCCTTATAGTCTCTTGGTTTTTCTAGGTAGAGCATGTATTTTAGTTTCTCGTACTTGGTAGTTGAGAAGTCTCTTAGCTCTCTGACATCACTGTGGAAGTTCTTGGTACGACTAGAATGCAAGTCCCCACACCTCCTCAGCCTAAATAAGTCTTGCTTTTTGTCACTTGCTGTGGATCTTGGACAGGACTAAACCAAGCATTGCCTGTTTGTTCCTTTGTTCTGTTAAAATATTGGTAGTCCCCATAGCATTTGAAATTAGATGGGTGCTATATCTCTTCACCCCAACAACTTTGCTCTCTTGGGGTAAATTTCCGTGGAATTAAGTCCTAGACTAAATTCTGACCCACATGCAAACACCTAATGAGTGAAGAGGCCACCATATGGCCATATAATTCTTCTCTTGATTGAGAAGTTCCCACCTCTGCTTTCAGATACAGCCACC